GCTGTTTCAATCTGTCTGACCTCATGTTCATCATTGACCTCTGCAGTCCCTCCCTCTGTGATGTAGAGCTCTGTGTAGATCTGATTCAGAAGGGTTGGGTTTCCTGCTTTAGCGATGCCCTCAAACACACACTGGAACTTCTTCTTCAGTGCAGATTTAAGTTTATGTTGACAAAGTGCAAGTTGTTCTGAATGACAAATAACATATGTACAATATCACTTGAAAGTAGAAATAAACCTTTAGTTGTAAAAAAAAAGAAAAAAAGAAAAAAGGAATGAACCTTTAAACATGTTGGTCCATCACTTGAGACATTAAACATGTTCTATTCACCTAGAAGTTTAAATCTTTAGAGAAATTCTCTTACGGCTCTGCAGATGGTCAGCCAGCTCCTCCTGGTTCATTTCCCTCAGGAAGTTCAGTGTGATCTTCATGAATGCCTCTCTGCTCTGCTTATCATGTGCGCTCTGACTCTCTAAGCATTCTGGGTAATCTGGACTCAGAACCTTCCTGGTCTTCTTCAGCTCATTCTTCACAAAAGTGATTATGTTTTCCTCCAGTAGCTGGAACAGAATACTTTATGAATGAGCCAATCAGACTGAGCCAAACATCAGATCCATGTTGGACAAACTGACAATCCACTGGTCTACAAAGAGCACCATGGAGATGCCTGTGAACAGAATAGATGTAAAAGTAGTTGTTGTACATGTACAGACCATAAATATGGAGTCCAGCTGTGTTTGATGCTCCTGGGCAGACTTCACACTGGGTACCTCTGAGCTCTCCTGGTCCATTCTGTGGAGGAATCATGGAGAATTAGGTCAATTACAGGATAAAGATCCAGTAGTTTTCTGTATAACTTCAGATAACTATAATATAATAATAATATAATAAATAAAATTAAATTGAATTGAATAGATAATGTAATCTCAATCAAGTTTGTGAAACTTAAAACTTTAGCTCAGATTCTGATAACATTGAGCATTTTTAGTCTGTATTTATGAACTTTCTTTCCGTAGTGATGTAAGAGATGATGCTACAGATCCTAAGAAGAACCTGCAACATCATTAAAGTGAAAAAAAAATCAATTAAGCATAATTAAAATGAATAATTATCCTGAGTGTGTGCATTAGGGTTGTACTTTGAACTGTGTGATGTTCCTGCTCTTCACTCTTTATAGCAGCTTCTGTCCTGTAAAGGTTTGCCAGCTGCAGTGAAATCTAAAACAATAGCATAGGATTTGTTAAATGATCACAGATGGACTGAACTCAAACAACATGTCATGGTGATATTCTACACATTAACTGGCTCACGGTCAGTGTAGTATGTGTGTCTAGAGTAAAGAGATGGTTCAGACAGATATTCAATGAGCAGAAGATGAACTGATCCCCAAAGGCCACAAAGTCAGAGAAGAAATTTTCTTTTCAACATTTTAGTAGATCAGAGTTTGCTTTTATTTAATGGATTTTGAGAAAAGTGCAGAAAGGTGGAGAGTGACTTTAGTTTTTAGAAGTTAAAAAATAATAACCAGTGTCATTTTTGATGCTCTGAGTTTCATGAGTAGAAGTGAAATCTGTGCAGCAAAAGACAACATCATCATCATCATCATCTCCAGCAACATCAAGCATTTAAAGCAGCTCTCAAAGAATTCATGTTATTAACAGCTCACCTCTCTGCAGCAGACAGAGGCTGGACTTTAAAATCAATTGGCCAATCTTTAGACCAGTCACTCTTTAAGGACACATAGCTGGGTTCAGGTACAGGTTCATGTCCTGCCGGTCTCCTATAATTGTTGTTAGAAAGAAGAAAAGAATACAGAAAATGTGTCTTAAAATAGGTCTTCCTCTGACTCTGAGCTTACATCAGGGTTGGTTAAACTTGCAGCTTGAATGAGTAAGAGCTGGGCCAGAACTGCACATATTGGGTTTTTTTTTTTCTGTTCTGACAAACTGGAGTAGTTCCTCTAAGGAACTGTATTGCACATATTTCAAAAACTTCTAGAGGTAGCTTACTTTTAGGGGTGGGAATTTAACACTTTAATTGCAATTAATTAATTTGAAAAAAAAAATAACACGTTAAAAAACGCATTTAATCGCACTTTGCATTCCAATCAATGTTTAGTCAATGCACGATTTCCTGGTATACTGATTACATTGATGCACATAACTACAACAACGTAAGAATCTGAAAAAAGTGCATTTCTAGGACTAGTCTGAGGCAAATTTTATTTCAAGACAATCCAATGGAAGTCTTGATAAAAGCATGGTTTTGTATAAATTGTGCACAAACGAGTTTGCATACACCAAAGCATTTCAGCCTTACTGTACCATCTAAATACAAAACATGTTGCAGCGAGTACAGAATCTGTGGGAGCTGTTAGCACTAGGAGTTCGAGTACCAACACACGTGTCGGCAGCCCAAAATTAATAAAATGACTGGCTTCAGGACCAAAATTTAGTAAGTCAACATCGGACAAAGAAATTCTCTTGCAAAATGGACTGCTCTGGACTGTAGACTACAATCAGTGGTAGAGGAATCATGGACTCGGTGGCACCTTTAAAAACCAGGCAGCATAAGGCTAAACCTGAGCCTTGGTTTAATGTACGGTGTACATTTTAGGACATCCTCAGGTCTCAGGAAAAAAGCTGTCAGGTCTCAGGTCTCACACAAAAAAATGTCAGGTTTCAGGAAAAAAGCCGTCAGTCTCAGGTGTCAGGTATCAGTTGTCAGGTCTCAGGTGTCAGGTATCAGGTCTCAAAAGTCAGGTCTCAGGTGTGAGAACACAAGCTATCAGATGGAGAAAAGCCACCTTTAGGTGGCGCTGTTGTTAGGTCCCAGCCAATGACTGTAGCAAACATTCTTACTACGCTGTTTTATGTTCAAGGGGTCTCCTTTCTCATAAGTTTGATTGTAAGCACTACCAAATTGCGGTGAAATTGGGGTGTGACGTCATCATAACAGTTTTGACTGGCAGTTGCAGTCACGCAGAAACTCTGTTTGGGATTGGCAGATAGAGCAGGGGTGCAGAGAGGAGCTCCAGAGTTTACGTTACAAAACTACGGCCGACTGTTTTAACTTGACAGCCTGAGGGGTTCTTCAGTATTCTGGACTACCAGACAGAAGGACCCGCTGCACTTTTTTGGTAAGTTAAATGTGTTTGTAAGTTAATTCGTAACTACCGTCCTTAACTCAGTCCTGAGACCTAGCTAAGATGAGCACTCGGCTGTCGGGGAAAGTCCGTTTAGCTAATCCGTGAATGAATGGGTGAATGAATTTAGCCTGTTTAAAAAAGAGCACCGGGCTGCTCAGTCACTAACTAACTACCGTTATTGTACTTATGAGTATTATACTGTAAGAGCAAGGCTTCAGTAAGGCTTCAGCTCCTGTGCAGAGCCGATCATTAAATATGTGCAAACAGCAGCATGTTTTCAGTCTCTTGCCACATCTGTAAAGACAGTAACACCAAATTTTTAAAAAAGAAGCTTGCACTTAAGTAACCTCTCATTAATCATTAACTATGGATTAATATAGCAAAGCCTAATATTTATGCACTGAAACCAACTACGGCTGTTTGGCAGCATTAAATTTATGTTAAAGTTTTCCACTGATGACTTTCGTAGCACTCACTTTTTTTTCTTATTATGTTTGTTTCAAATATTCAGGTTAAAAAACAGTCTGGGTCTAATGAAGTATTGTTCAGAGTTAAATGTATAGTACTCAGTACAGCTTACATCCTTTGAAAGAAATCATTTGAAGCATTAATGTTTGTTGTCTGCAGAACTGTAGAACTGAAAAAATGTAAGAGAAGAACTTCAGAACCTGGGTGTGTGAGGACAGAGAAGGATCAGCTTTATTTAGTGTAGGACTAAACAAGTTATTTTACTGCTATTTTATTATCAGTATTATCATTGCATTAGAACCACGTAACAAGCATTGCATTAAAGCATTTATTGAAGCTGTTGACATTACATTAAAGTCTGTATTACAGGTGGTATCATAATCATATAATGATCTTTCATTGCAGGAGCAACTGTAATCATTTTATACACATTGCATTTTGGGGCTTATTAAAGAGTTGAAGCTCGGTCAGTTAATTGATGGTCAGAAGCTTCGTCCGGCGCGATGTCCGGCCGATCTATTGAGCAAAGTGGCTTAGAGCTATGGAAAGATTGCATATATGCTTACAATACATATATCACATATAATCTAGAAACAGGCCTGAATAAAGGCCTCAGTGTATTCAGCAACCTGCTGCATTTGAGTTTGCTTGGTAACAGATGACTCAGAATAAGTCAGGAAGAGTACTTCTAAAATGTCTTTGTTTCCTCTGTAAAGTGTGCATTTTTTGATGGTTATTTTGAGGAGCTGTCTGGATGAGGCTATTTGAATAACCAGGTTATTCATTGTTATCTTTTATTCATTTATAATCTCAATATTAAGCTTCAAGTGGTGGCACTCATTTACAGCATTTATTCAATATATTACATATATAGTTTTAATGGATTGTTGCACATATGAGAGTGGCCTCTGTCTGGTTGTGCGCCTTTGTAGGTGAGGTGAGAGGTGAAACAAAGTGCAATTGACGTCGGGAGACATATGCACACACATCTTAGGTGGATTCATTTCTAGGTAAAAGTTCAGACATATTTTGCTTGCAACTGCATTTTGAGTCTGCAGAATTGACAGTTTTTGTTGCAGAGCATGCCCTGAGGTTTTGGAGAAGCGAGAGCGAGACGAGCTACAGGAAAAGCACCTGGCATGGAGATCGAGGCGATGTTCTTTTCACTGTGTCAAAAGTCGTCACCAGAACATTTGTGGTTTTGAAACTTATGCATGCATTGTATCTGCTTGACACATGAGGGGGCGTCATAAACATTCCCTGATGGTATAAAAACAACTGATTGTGTATTGTTCGAGTGAGATCGATGCTGTCTGCGTACAGTGTTCATCTCCCACAGGTGTGTTCATTAAAATCATCGTTTGACCGACTCTCCTGGATCAGTGTTGTGATTTGAATCCCTCCTGTATCCCTCCTCAATATTTGAACCCTTAACATTAGGTTTTGAGGGATAAACGATATATTTCAGGTTGTGATGATTCTGTTCTCGTTGTGATTACAGGAGCTGACCTCAGATTCAGACCTCAGCACCACCCTGTGACAGCAGACAGATCATCCAACATGTTCACTTGTTAAGTGCAAAATTAACAGATGAAAACAGTACAAAGTATTCAATTCAATTCAATTTTATTTATATAGCGCCAAATCACAACAAAAGTCGCCTCAAGGCGCTTCATAGATACAGAGAAAAACCCAACAATCATAGGA